ATTGTTTTTGTCATATCTTTTCTCCAAATCATTTTAAGAAACAAATATAATTAATTTTGGAATTTTATAGTTTAGCAAGATTTAAAAACAAAAACTGGAAATATAATGGGATTTTAATTATATCAAAACATGTATGACCAATATTAAAGCATATATGATCAATTAAGAATATAGAATGCATAGATGGACAATAGTTTAATTATTTATCCTTTATAACCAATTTTCCCTTATTTTTAATCGGTATCATCATTTGATACTTTAACATTAACAAATATATCCTCAAATTTTAAATGTGTATTTTTAGAAATTAATTACTTTTTATTTACGTAAAAATCTTTAAACTTGATATTTTTTAACTCTTATATTATTTATTCTACTAAATAATTGTTGTACCATTAAAATATATGACAAGTTTCTTTTATCCTATCACTATTTAAAAATATTTACTCATTATATGTTAAGATTTAATTATCTAATTTTATATTTCTCCAATCTCAGTTCAATTTTTATATTTTTTGTTGTATATATATATATATATATATATATTTTCATGTACAATATATTTCGTAAATTATTTTTTTCATAATTAAAGTTTGTAAATTAATTTAGTTTTATGTTTTTTATTTAAATAAATAAGATATGTGGAGCCTACAAAAATAGTAAAATGTGATGACATGTATGCTGATGTTGACTCTCTAATTATAAATATAGATTAATGCTATAGATTTATTTTAATGATGGATTAATGTTAATCTCCGTATTTTCCTCTCAATTATTATGCTATATCATTTGATTTTAGATCAGTTTGTATTAAAATGAATGAACAAACCTTTTCTTGGTTTTCAGATAATGTTTTATTTCTGGATATCCTAAGAAGCCAGGTATTAAGTGATCTTACTGTCAGTAGATTAAAATTTTAATGTTAACCAATCCTTACAGTGTTTCAAAAATTGTTGTTTAAAGATTACGCTAATTTGGAAACTCCTTCCATCTTTTCAAAGACATTGATGTCAAAAATGACTAACTTAAATATGATTCTAACGAAAAAATAACCGAAGATAACAAAAAACGAACCGAAAGTTACGTTATTATTCAATAATATAAAGCATAGTATATATATATATATATATAAAGCATAATTCAATACAGTATAAAATCAATAAATTGCGATTAAGATCAAGCAAGTGAAGGGAAAACTAGATCTAAAAAATCGCCTTCAAACGAGAGAGAAAGCTCTGTTTTCGATGCAACGATTGTGCCCCTCTGGTTCAAGAGACTTCTTCAACAACATTCTCTTGAAACTCTGCTTTCAAGTCTCTATCTACTTTGTTTGGCAAGAAATGAACTCTCGAATCCATAGCAGGGGATACGCAATGGTTCCTCAGTTTATTAGAAACATTAACAAGCTCATTTGGACAGGGTCACTTCCATGCATTATGTCTTGAAGCCGCGACTTCGGAACCTACTTCAACGATGGTTTGCGCATTAACCTTTGGTGAAGGGAAGAAGGTGACATAGGAATTTCATGCTCTGTTTTACGTTTTGTTGTTGCTTTAGTTTGGACACAAAAACATCCTAATACTGGCTTTTAGGCACAATTGAAAACTCAGTCTAGTAAATAGATTTATACTTGAACAATAAAACACAAATCGAACACAAATCGAACACAAATCAATTAATCAATCGAAGAAAAATCAATTAACCATTCTTCTCTACCAATCGAAGAAAAATCAATTAACCATTCTACTCTACCAATCGCTTCTCCTTCTCCCACCCTCTTCCCAAAATCTCAAAGCTACATCTCGAAGCTTCCGCCATTCACTAGCAGCACATCTCAAATATTTTGTCGTTGTTCATCACCAACACATCTCGAAGCTTATGATGTTCACCACCATAACATCTCGAAGCTTTTGCTATCATTCATCACTAGGAATGTCAATTGGGTTGTCCATGTCCAAATGGACAACTTCGTTTTCTCCACATTAGTGGTCAAAGCCCAAATAAGACCATGTTCAAATAGAACAAAACCCAAATAAGACCATGACCAATTGGATTGTCTGTTGGGTCCAGATAATATGATTTTCTATTTCCCGTCAACACTTCAAATCAAAATTTCCAACTAAACCCGTAAAATAATATTTTCCCGCCAAAACCGCAACACATTTTCACCAAAATTAAAAAATTGTGTTTTTCCGCCAAATCACATAATCATATTTTCCCGCCAAAACTGTAAAAATAATTTTAGCGAGAAATGGAAAATTATATTTTTGCAAAAAAACGGGAAATCATATATTTGGCAAGAAAAAACAAAATCACGTTTTGGCGGAAAAACAAAAAGTAACGTTTTGGAGTGAAAATATCACTAAGAAAATAAGAAAATGCGACGAATAAATAATTAGAGTAAATCTTAATTTTTAAGGAAATGAGGAAACAAGTTTCTCCAACTTAATAACCCTAATTTTTAAGGCTTATTAGACAGCTCATGTCCGGATGAGTTCCCCTCGTTTGTTTGCGGGCTAAATAGGTTTCTATCCCATTTTAACCGCTTTGAATTTAGGTGTGACCAGATCCGTACCATTATAATTTAGAGTGGTCTAACCCATGGTCATGAGACCCATTTGACATCCCCATTTACCACCAACACATCTCGAATCTTCCGTGTCACATCTCCGATCCTCCGACGTTGCGTCTTCTCTTTGATGCCATGTTCTCGATCTCCCTCGCCTTCTCCTCCGTCGTCTTGTTTCCAAACAAACTGTAATGCCTCGACCGCCATCTGTCTTAATGGGCCCCACGTCCTCTCTTGGCCCGTGGGCCCACCCGTGTTTGACGGTAGGTTCGTTACGTCCGGAAGACTTTAAAAACTTCTTTACCGATCTTACAAATCATCACATGATATTTCCCTATGTTTTGTCCTCACTCACACAGTTCCGACAATCACTTCCCGGAAGGTCACCCATCCTGAAACTTTCTCAGCTCAAGCACGCTTAACTGTGGAGTTCTCTCAAGACAATTGACCGAAAAGATAAGTGCACTTTGATAATATATGTGGCTAAATCAATTCTTTTAAACCTCTCTGCATACACCACCATATTCTTAAAACCGGGGTGTTACACAAACTCACCGGATATATACATACATATACACATATGTATTTTATTTTTCCTAATCTATCTAATAATAATAACAATCTCAATAAATGTCTTTTGTATTTGTGAAAGGTTGTGTTGTGTCTTTTAATCGCAACTTTTTGTTAAATGTTTTTTAAACTAAAATATATATTTTAAGGTTATGTTTTTTTTTATAAATTACATTCCGAATGTCTTCTACGGTTACGTCTTATTATTGTAACTTTTCATAAACAGTTGCAAAGATTCTTCGAATCATTGCAATATTTAGTTTATGTTACGAACAATTGCGACATTTGGTTTATTTATTTAGTTTATTTCACGAACAATTGCAACATTTGGTTTATTTTATAAATCGCTATAACATTTAATTATCTACAGTCGCATCTCTAGGTATAAATTTTCATAAATTATTATTTTTAATTTTTAATTATCAAAATATATTTTATGAAGCTACCTTTGTAAACATTTTTCCTCCTAATTGGGAACCAACCAAGGAGTTTTTTAATAAATGTGTGGTTGACAAAAAAAAAAAAAAATTATCAAAATATATTTAAATGAGATTGTAATCGTATAATTGAACCGTTGCAACATTTGGTTTATTTGACGAATCATTGCAACTTTAGTTTTTTTTTTTACCTCTGTAATCTTTAGTTTATTTAACGAACTTGATGAACCGTTGCAACTTTCGGTATATCGCAACATTTCGTTTATTTTTTAAAAAACTCCAAAAATAAATTTTATTTTATGTTTATTGAGAAAGTTGCAATGTGAGTAAATGTTTTCTACGGTTGTATCTTTTTATTGTAACTCTTCAACTAAACGGTTGCACCATTGCAACATTTAGTTTATTTCACGAACAATTGCAACTTTAAGTTTTTTTTATAAATCGTTATAACATTTCATCATCTACTGTCGGTGTAAATTTTCATAAATTATTATTTTTAATTCTTAATTTTTAATTACTAAAATTTATTTAAATAAGATTGTAACCGTTTAATTGAACTGTTACAACATTTGGTATATTTGACGAACCGTTGCAACTTTTGGTATATTTGATATGTACTGCTGCGTTTCTCGGTTAAACTTCGTCATATTTTTTCAAAAAATATTTAATTACTAAATTGTTGCTACCGTTTAATTTAACATAGTAGCATTTGGTTTGTTTGACGAACCAATATACATTTTGGCTTATTTATCAAACCGTTGTAACATTTGGTTTATTATTTGATGCTTTTTGAACTTGGAAATAAATTTTTTAATTACAAATTAATGTTTTTATAATATTAATATACTTAATAAATGTTTGCGAAGATTTTTTTTATCATAATTTTTGTAAAATATATATTGATTTATTATTAAAAAAATAATTAAAATTGTTACAATTCATTATGATTTTTCATTAGATATTTTTTTTTGAAATACATTCCTCCGCGACATCGCGGAGTCTGGAGTCCTAGTTGATTTAATAAAAAAATTCATTATTTAATTTATTAATAAAAAAATATAAAAGTAAATTGATATTGGTTTTGTATTTTCTGGTTGTAATTAATTCAATAGTCACTCATCTCTCTCTTTGCCCAAAAAAAAAAAAAAAAAAGCCACTCATCTCTCTCAATCCTGAACCAGAATGAATTCATCCATCAGTCAACTCTCCCTTCACAATGGGTATATCTCTCTAAATTTTCCTCATTTCAATTTCAATTTCGATTCTAGAAACTAAATAAACTTAATGATCAAAACCCAATTCCCAGATTCTTCTTAAAGTTTCCATCTTCCTCCTTCTCTGTTAACAAAAATTGGGGTTTTTTTCATAAAAGTGAAAAATTTCTTGAAAGATGTGAACTTTATGTGTTGTTTTGGTTGTAACAGGTGAAGTAGAAGAAGCAATGTTACTGCTAAAAGAAGAAGATGAAGGAAGTAGAAGAACTAGTGTCCCTACTCAACTCATAAGCTAAAACGAACCCAGTGGTGGATTCTTGTCTTCATAAGTATTTTCTTCCTCATCTCTGCTCAAGCCATTGCTGTTCTTCTTGGTCGGTTTTATTACAACGAAGGTGGAAACAGTAAATGGATCTCTACTCTTGTCCAAACGGGTGGCTTTCCGATTCTTTATCTTCCCCTTTGTCTCCTTCCTGCTTCACAATCTTCTTCATCTTCTTGTTCTTTCAAGACTCTGGTTTGGATTTATCTTTCGCTTGGTTTTGCTATTGGTTTAGACAATCTTTTATACTCTATTGGGCTTTTGTATCTCTCTGCTTCGACTTATTCGATTCTATGTGCTTCACAGTTAGCTTTCAATGGTGTCTTCTCTTATTACATCAATTCTCAGAAAATCACTTGTTTGATTCTCTTCTCAGTGTTGTTTCTCTCTATCTCTGCTGTGTTGGTTTCTCTTGACGATGATTCAAATAGCCCATCAGGAGATTCTAAATGGAGTTACTTGATTGGTTGTTTCTGTACAGTTTTGGCTTCTCTTATCTATTCTCTTCAGCTCTCTCTTATGCAGTTTTCGTTCGAGAATGTTCTCAAGAGTGAGACATTCTCTATGGTTCTCGAGATGCAGATCTATACGTCACTTGTGGCTTCTTGTGTTGCGGTTATCGGGTTGTTTGCGAGCGGGGAATGGATGTTGTTGAGTGTGGAGATGGAAGAGTTTCAGGAGGGTCAAGTCATTTATGTTTTGACTTTGGTTGGGACAGCGGTTTCGTGGCAATTGTGTTCTGTAGGAGCCGTGGCGCTTATATTTCGGGTGTCGTCGCTGTTTTCGAACCTTATTGGTACGCTCTCACTCATTGTAACGCCTCTTGCAGCCATTGCTGTGTTCCACGACAAGCTGACTGAAGTTAAGATGGTCGCGATGCTCATTGCCTTCACGGGATTCGCGTTTTATATCTACCAGAACTATCTTGATGACCTGAACGTACAAAGAGCACGAAAAACCCAGGCCGAACTATTTTAGTTAGTTGTTTTATAAACTATTGTAGAACAAGGTAGCTACAAATGTTGTATTCTATATAGTGATCATATACATAAAACTATTTTAGTTAGTTCATAATCTGGTGATCATATACATAAAACTAATTGCATGACCGATTCATTACTGAATCGCAGAAACATATTCGGATATTCGTAGTATGCTATTACATATCAACTAGGATCGGACCCGCGGTCCACCGCGGGAGAATATTGGTTTACATACGTTACGTTTAATATTGTGTATGTTTTTTAGTAGAACGAATCGTATAGTATACTTATAAATATTCATAATAACGAATTGTAGAGAAATGTAAAATTGTTTATAAATATACCCATCGTATTAATTATGATTTACAAAATAGAATTTTGTGTTTTAAAATTCTAAAATTAGACGATTCATGGGAATTAGAGCAGTCAAAATAGGTCAAAAACCGCGGGTCGAGCCCACATCATCTCACTATGGGGCAGATTTGGGAAAATATATTAAAACCGCAAATAAGCGGGCCACATGGATTAATTCGCAGTGGGTCATATGTTTAATCGGTTTTCATCCGCGGGTTGGCGGATCAGCCCGCATATTAGTATTTATTGATAAAATTATAATTTATTCAACATGTGGTAATTTAAATAAAGTTTTAATAGTATTTTGATTTATTTATTTATTTTAGTAGTATTTTAAATTTTGGTTACTTAAAAATTATTTAAACAAAATCCATGGACAATCCCGCAAATCCCCATACATTCGCGGGACGGGTTTGTATTTCATATATGCTATCCGCGGGTCGTGCGGACCGACTAACTACAAGTCAAAATATTTTTTGTCTATCGCAAAACGGACTTAACGGGACGAATCAACTCGCTTTGACAGTTCTAATGGGAATATTATTTAGTCATACAACAAAATGAAGTTTGGACATAGTAATAATAGAATATGTATCTTATTTGTTAGATGAGAGATTGAAAGATGAAGTATAATGATTAAAAATTAATTATTATTTTTCATGATTCATAAAATTTAATAAATACTTATCATCTTGTTGAATAATTCTAAAATCATATTCAAGAAATCTTTATAAATTGAAATTAAACTTCTTTGGTAAGCTATAGGTATGAAAATATCATAATTTCGATTTAATCTAATTAAATTAAAATTAGTTACATGGATTTCATATCTATTTAATTTACACGACCAAAATAAAAATATCTATTTAATTTACACGACCAAAATAAAAATATCAATTTAATTTATAAAATAGATGGGTTATTTGTGATAAATTTTCTAGAAATCTTTAGAAGCAAGTAAAATATCTTTCAATTAATGATAATTGGCTAAAATGAGCGAAATTAATGACAAAAACGTTGATTGTTATGGAATTAGTCCCAAAAATATATGAACAAATTTATTATACGTAATTAATGTATAATATTGTTTGGAATATGCTTTTATTATTAGTTACCATAAGTACAATCAGATTTTATTTTATTTTCTTAAATATTTGATTTTATTTCGATTTTTCATTATTATTTCGAATTTATATTCCAAAAAAAATTCAAAGTTCCGATTATTTCGGGTCAATTTTCTGATTTTAATCCGACCCATTTTCATTTGTACTTCTCTTTTAATAGTATAGAGATGTACAATTTCCCACTTTGTTTTAGGTTTGTCCCGGCAAACTTTGAACAAATGTGGACAAATCAATGGTGTTTGCTCATTTAATGTATGTTCTTTGCGATGTCTTCATTGAAACCAAAGACCACCTCTTTCTCCGCGGCCCATATAGATAAGATCTTTGGAGAATGTGTATGTATAGAATAAATTGTTCTTGCAATGGTTTCAACACATGAGATTCTACTCGATTAGAATAGGAGTTAATCTAAGTGTCCCAAGTTCAAACCATTACATTGTTACTGAGATTACCAATGGTAATAGATCAACGTATGAGGCTGAGTATAATGAGGATCATCGAGAATCTCAGAGACACATGTTGTTCCAGAAGATCATGATGTTTGCTGCTTATGAAACAAACTAAAAAGAGGATGATGGTTGATTTATATCTTCATGATGCAAATAATTTAAAGTATATATAACTTCATCCTTGCAGAGCCTTCATCCTCTTTTTCTCTGTTTCCTCCAATCACATGTGAGCCTTTACTGTTTCGTGTGAAAAACCGCTAGAACTGTTAAACCCAATTTTCCTTTTGTTATATCACACAAAATCACCCTGAGTTTTTCTTTAAATTTCATCTTATCACAAACTGTTTTCCTATTTTCATGACAATATCCTAAACACTCACCCAAATCTACCAAAATCTAAATTTTCCTAAATTCCATAAAATCTTCTATCCTTATTTCAATACGCCTCCCTAAAGCCGCTTAAAACATAAACTCGCATTAACTTTGAATTTTATACACGAACAAAACAAATCCGCCCTAAACCCACAAATCTCCAGACGGTGTTAACAGTAAACTAACTAGGATGTCACGAGGATGACAACAAAAAAAAAAAAATCTAATCATTAAACCCACACTCAAACCCTTGACCTTGAGGTCATGACAACATACTCTATACGAGTTTATTTCATTTTAGTTTTGTTATTTCAATTTACATCGCCGTGGAAATGATTCCAAAGTTCATAATAAATTAAGATAATTTCCAATAAAAAAATTTTAACAATAATTTACAAAAAATAAGATAAAGAGACGTAACCCTCATAAGTATTTATTATTATTATTAGAAAATATTTATGTTGAAAAAATGTCATCATAAGTAAAAATATTAAATGAAGAGTTATAATGAGTAGAAGCAATTTTTTAATTTCTTAAATAATTAAAAATATTATTATATAATATATTCAGCAAAACAGTATGATAAAAAGACCCAATATTTTAAATTGAGTTATGTTAAAGAGAGACAATGTGCCTGATTGGTTATGGATGTAACTTTAGATTTTTTGTTGTAGATTTTAGACTGTGGATTTTCTTACTGTAGCTATAAAATTATAGCTGTAAGTTTTAAAATAAAAGTGTGATTGGTAAATATTAGTTGTATGTTGTAACTTTACGTATTTATTATGTAAACTTAAATATTTTAGAAATAAATAAATATTAAAAATATATTGTAACTAAAAAAAAAAAGTCAGAAAGCAAAAGAAGGAAAGAACAGTAGAGAGAAGAAAGAGAAAATATCTCACAGCTCATTTTTGGGTGTTGTAGAAAATTTGATTTACAAAGTTTATATATTTCCTTTTTTTATTTTGTGTGCTTTAGTTTTTTTTAAGTAAAAGAATAATTGGTTTGCTATTTGGCTTTAGAAATAAAAGTTGGCTTTGTAGAGCATCTAAAGCTCCTTCCAATCAGGCCCAATATTCGGAAAATATGTGAATGTTTTGCTAAATATATTATATAATTATATAATTATATAAAAACGACAAAGCCTCCTTTCTCTCCATTCTTTGAGTGCTTTGTCGTTCCAGAGAAGAGAAAAAGAGAGAGTTGGCTTTGTGGTTGATCTAGAGAGAAAAGAGAAGGGTTTGAGTGAGTTAAGGAGAGAAAAAAAAAGCTTGTTTTTGGTGTTAGCAAGAGGAGGAGGAACAGATCAGCGGTTGTGAGTTGAGAGAAGGTTGTTGTGGTGCTGGATTCTGGTGTTATTTGTCTCAAATCAATCCTAAATCAAGGTGAGTGCATGACCATGGCTTTTCTAAGCAAGTTGGAGAAGTTTTGATGATTTGTTGAGTGTATAGGTTGATTGAGAATGATTTGAGGAGTGTTTGCTGGTTGATTTGGTCTTGTATGCTTGTGTTCTGCCTTGGTTCGTGGGAGACTCGACGTGGGCAGCAGAGAGGCGAGCCGGGAGAGGCGAGGTACATTTTTTTCAGGTCTGCTCCGGCGTCGGTGTCGGTCGCCACCACTCGGATCTCTGGTGACGATCGACACCAGGTCTGGCTGGGAGCTTTTCAGCTTCCTGAAATTGCCTTGTTTGATTTATTGATTGGTTTTTCTTTGTGTCTTGATTTTTCTATCTTGCTTGTGTGTATAGCATGTTGATGGGAGGATCGCCTCACTAAATATTTTTTATAATACTTACGCATCTCTTTATTTATGGTGCATGTAAAGAAAAAGTGTGACGTGGGATCATGGCAAGGAAGAGAGGATGATCTAGGAACTCGTTTGGTTGCGTTTTATTATGTTGTTGGAACCTGTTTTAGAACTATGCTAGGACTGCTGGTTATTTCTGGACATGTTGGTTGGATTGTTTATTTATAAGAAATTGCATTTGGACTTGCTGGTTGCTGTTATTTTATCGGTTGATTTAATTAAGTTTTATGAGGATATTTAGTTATGTATAAAAAAAAAAAGGGTCGGGACTTCACAATTGGTACCAAAGGGTTTACGCTCCTAGGACGGTTTAGAAAATTTAATTGGGATTGATTGAATTTTTCTGATGATTGATGCGTGATGTTAAACTGTTGGTTGTTTGTGCTAGGAAAAATTGATTATGAGTAGTTAGTCAATTTGAATGAGCATGGGGTCTTAGAATCATTCTCTTCGAGCCTTCAATGACATTCCACAGTAAGTTATTTTTGTATTTTTGGTCTGATGTCTTGGTGTACTTAGTGTCTACTTGTAAAAGTACAGATGGATGTCGAAGCTAGAGGTCGTGGTCGTGGCCATGGTCGTGGTCGTGGTCAGGGTTGTGGGGCTGCAGTAACGGATGAAAGTGTGGCACAGAGTACTACAGTTGAGCAGGTTGGGAGTCTGCATGTGGATCAGGAGGAGTCTGAGGGTTTGGCCGGTGGGGGTGCCGGTGTGGATGGAGTTCCAGTGGGTGTATCTCAGGCTCGAGATGGTACCAGCACAGGCTCCGGGAGTACCACCAATGGTTGAGGTGCAGTCGAGGGTTACAGTTGAAGGGGAGCTCCCATCTTACATCAAGATGATGGAGCAGATGCAGAGGATTGGCACAGAGTTCTTTTTGGGTGGTGCCAAAACTGAGGAAGCAAATGAGTGGAGGATGCGGATGAAGCAGATTTCCATTTGATTAGGTTTCCAGAGGGATACCAGGTGGATCTAGCAGTCCACAATCTGCAGGCTGATGCACATCTCTGGTAGAGGGGTGTTGCGGCTAGGAGGGCTCAAGTGGGGATGAGATGGGCGGATTTTGTG